AACTACTTCATTTCAGCTACAAATAAAAGTCAAGCTCAAAGGATGACAACAATGTTTCTATATTAAATGCACACAACTAACCTGGGGGATCTTGTAAAAACACAGATAGTAAGGTCTTGGGGGGAAGAGTATATTTTGGTAACACCGATAGTGTTCAGGACTTATTTCTGGGGGTTTGGGTGACCAATAATACTTCCAAAGATCAAACTGCAGTTGTCAGTCTGCAAGCTAGTCTTTAAGCCCTAGACTATCTCTCTATCACCCATATTATAATTCAATTTACTGGCAAGAGGCCTGAGATTCTTCATTATAAGAAGCCTTGAGATGCTCAAGGGTACTCAAACAGTTGGCACTTTATACAGCCAGGCAGAAGACCTGGCCTTTGCTTTGATAAAAAATCTCCCTAGTATCTCTAAATCTGTGTGTTTTACTGTACCACACTCTCCTGGCTCCCTTCCCACGCATTTCTTTTAATATTGTTTTTCCATTCTACACTTCTCTTCTTTATAATGTGCTTTTTTTTAGTATGTGTGCAGTTTGCATTAGAACATTTTTCTTTGTCACCATGATCTACAGATCTACATTAGAAACTGTTTTCGCTAACAAAAAGAAAATCAAAGAGTATTTTTATGTTTTTATGACAAAAATTGAAAAATGAAAATAGTAGGTGTAGAGAGTTTGTATCAGAATTATGGTTGTCTTGCATGTGGTCAACCTGGTTTAATTCTAAGTCATATGGTCCCCAGGAATGATGTTATAGCCCCCAAACAATGCAGGTTATGACTTTAAAACCATTCCCTTCTAAAGGGAAAAAAATCATCATCATTTAATTTGTCACAAGCATAACAGAAGCAGCATGCTCCCAGTTGTGAGAATGGGACAACCAACTTCTTTCCCTGAAACTGCTTTAGGTAGATCACAATGTATCTTATCATTCCTACTTTTGCTATATGTGTTTGATCAGTTACTTAGGGGGAATCTGAGAATACTAAACAATCCATCCAAGTAAATAGATGACAAATGTTTGTTCTAAGTCCTTTCAGCTCATGAATATTTCATAAGACCACTTTCCTTAAACTGCTGCTGACCCCATTCAGTCTCCAACTCTGCTTAGGAAAAGCTAGCCCCAAACACAGAGCCAGTAGGTGGTCCCAACACTGCCGGATATGGCCCAACTCCTTTTTTCCCCCACTAAACAGTAATGCACATTTAAGTAAAAAGGAGAACTATCTAACCCTAGTTTAATCACCAACCTGTGTTTCCTCCTAAATTAAGTATTTTAATAAATGTATGAAAGAAATAGCTTGAACATTTAAATAAAATTAGGTTTCCATTTTGGAGAGATAATACAGGGATTAAAGCATTTGCCTCACACTAAGCCTAGTCCTTTTCAGTTCCCATCCCTAGCATATATGATCCCCCAATTACCACAAGGAATGAGTCCTAAGCACAGAACCCTGTACTAAGACCCTCCAAAAGAAATAATTAAAAAAAAATGATGCTTCCTGAACCCAACTCCAGAGATTCTGATTTAGTTCATACAGAGTGGAGTCCTTTAGTTTTCAATTTTCATTCTTAGGGGAAAAAAAGGTGCTTTGAACCACAAATTTAAGAAACTCTGCACTGAGGTCATCCATCAGCACACCAACACCCTAAAACAGTGCCTCCCCTTTCAATTTAAACCAATTGCTAAGAGTATGGTGGGAGGGGGCTAAAATATGGAACATAGGAGGAGTGTGGTAGCTAAGGGTGAAAAGGGGAGAAGTGAAACTTTCTGTTAGTCACCTAAAGAAGGCAGATTTTCATGGGGTCATCATGTATTTTTTTTTGTCTCAAAAGGGGACAGTAGAGCAGCTGGTTCATGGAAACTTCTGCATGAAAGTGACTTCCAAATTATACTCACACCCTAGACCTCTCTATTATTTCAGCCAACTATTTGATATTTAAATCTGAATAGTTAAAACCATGTCAAAATATCTTTTTCTCCCAGTCCCAATAACGTTAGCCCTCCAGTACCTGAAATATTGATGCTATAATCTAACCAGAATAAATTGGGCTAGAGTTTTTATCTAATAAAACTAGCCAGTCAGACTCATAGCATAGTGGGCATAAAAAGCTCAAGCAAAGTTAGCAAAAGATGCTGTGCTGCACAGTTCTCACACAATGGTTCACCAAGTCTTGTGTGAAGCCCACAGATAATATTTCTATGGTGTTTGCCTTGCACGCAGCCAACATGGCACACCCAAGTTTAATTCCTCCGCCCCTCTTGGAGACCCTGGCAAGCTACCGAGAGCATCTTGTGCGCATGGCAATATTCAATATGCCAACACAGTAACAACAAAAATCTCACAATTTTTGTGAGACGTTACTGGGCCAGCTCGAGAAAATGGATGAACAACGAGAGGACAGTGACAGTGACAGTGATTTTTTTTTTTTGCTTATTTGGGGTGCCCTGGACAATGTGAGGGAGCTATCATGTGATGAAATGCTACATATCCTCCAGTCCTGTGGCTATTCCTGGTAGCACTGGGGTGTATGAGAGAGAGACAGAGAGACAGAGACAGAGACAGAGAGACAGAGAGGGAGAGAGGGTGTGTTACAATGTGCATGTGAAGGGGGTAGGAGGGACTTGAACCCACAACCTTGTATCTGCCTTCTCATCTATGGTTTAAACAACATACTGGGATCCAGATAAACATTTTTAAATACAGCTCTGCAAAGATACTTTTTAGCAGGTAATCCCAGCCTTCACCTTAAATAATATGTCTCTCCTAAGGACTCCTTCAGCTATTCCCAGCAAGAGGATCATAGAGACTATGAAAGCATTTCGCCAAATAGAGGACTGAGTGTGGGAATAAGAGATCATTGGACTTTCTTCTTATCTTCTCACACAGCCTCCTAATTCTACTCCAAATAACCTTGCATTCGTCGATTGCCTCGAGCAGGCCCCTGTAACGTCTCTTTCATCCTAGCCCTGAGATTATATTCAAGGCTCTTTAGGAGAATGAGACCCATCATTGTTACTGGTATTTGGCATATTTGGTACGCCACGGGGAGTTTGCCAGACTCTGCCCTGTGGGCAGGCTACATTTGATAGCCTGCAAGTTTGTCCAAAGTAGGAATGAGACAGTAAGATGTCATAAAAAAACCTTGCATACCAAGTAAAATTAGTGCCCTTCTATCTAAAGTAAGTTTTATATCAAGTGATCTTCTGTTCTCATTCTAACAGGACTGACCTTCAAAGCAGTTATGTATAGTTAATTCTGAACAAAGGCATGCCCTCATGCTCCTTACTCTTGGAAAACATAAGGAAATTAGAAAATCATGTCTCTGTCTCTGTCCTCTGTCTTTGTCTCTGTTCTCTGTCTCTCTCTGACTCTGTCTCTGCCTGTCTCTCCTCTCTCTCTCTCTCTCACTCTCTTTATGTTTCTACATCTGCCTCTCTCATTTTCCCCTTTAACTTTATTTTTATAAGAACAAATTACTAACTTAAGGAATTAAATAGCAAAGCCTATAAATATCTCAAGTAACCAGCACATACCTCTAGGGTAGAAATGGCTTTCATTGTTTCTGCCTCCCTAAGGAAAACTTCCACACACCTCCGTTAGTGGAAACTCATTTAGTAGAAATATGTATCATAAAAGACATCAAAAATCAAATGGGCTGGACACGTAATGAGATTTATAGACAACCGCTGGACTAGAGCCATTACTGATTGGATTCCACGAGACATCAAAAGATCACGTGGACGCCCACCTATAAGATGGTCAGACTTCTTTGTCAAGACCCTAAATGATCGGTTTGAGGCTCTACATGTTCCTAAAATGAACAGATACCATTGGGCTACGCTAGCACGCAACCGGGGTGAATGGAGACGTTACTGGCACCCGCTCGAATAAATCGATGAATAACAGGGATTAAGTGATTAAGTGATTAAGTGATGTATCATAAAGAGCTATGGTATTTATTTACATTTAAATGTATACATATATTTGTTTAAATTACTTGCTAGTCTCCATCTAACTTCCTGTGGATGAATTAGCTTTGTTGCTTTTAAGGCTTGCAAATCTCTAAATTGACATTTTCTTCAAGTGACTCTTTATTCATGGTCTGCCTTTTAGTTCAAAATTTAGATTATACTGTCTCGGGTTTAATAGAATAAAATTGGGGTTCAATTAGTGGCTTTGGATCATGGCAACCAAGTGGCTGATCCCTTTTTAATCTTCCACATGCTCCATTATTCACAGGTTAATGCTGGCATCTAAGGAATCTGAAGAAATGACAATGACATAAACGGAAAATATTTGAGTATTTGAATACTCCAGATAAAATATCTTTTTTATACTTATTAAGCCATGAAACTGGTTTGAAATGAAGATGGTGCCAAATAGGTATTGAAATGTAAATATATATGATACATCATTGTAAAGAAGATTCTAGATTCATTGTAATAATGTTTGTCTTTGTGAACTGAAGAGATGTAATGTTAGATAGATGTTTAGTTTCGACCTCCTGCATCTACATATCAAAATGCAGAAAGAGATCATTTTTTTCCTCACTACTCCACTGAAATAAAATTGGTGGAAGATTTTTTAAAATTGCAGTTTCCTAGGTTTTGCCTTGAATGCTTTGCTTTAATCTTAGGTGGAAAAGACATCAATTAACCCCATTTTTCTAAATCCAAATTAAACCTTTTTCTTCAGTTGAATTCACCTTGCTGACATGTCCCATGGCTTGGAGCTAATACATGAAATATCTTTAACCTCATTATTCTTTTCCTCTCCATATTCCTTTTCTCCTCTACCTCCTATCTCTCTCTCTCTCTCTCTCTCTCTCTCACTCACTCTCTCTCTCTCTCTTCTCCCAGCTGCAAGGATTTGTCCTCTAAAAGAGTGGGGGTGGGAGTGAACACGGATGGAAGCCGAGCTGGGAGCATGAGCCAGAGAATGCCAGGATCTGGCTTTTGTTATTGGTTGGCTACTGCCTGATGGATAGAGGAGGGAGGAGTGAACGCCTCAGTCTGTTCTGACGGAGCCGAAGTACAGAAACCATATTTACAGGTAAGAGCAAAGCAGATGAAAATAAATCCTTTCATTAATGAATGGTTGTTTTTTCAAAAGAGGATACTTCCCAAATACTACTGAGACAATTTTAGAATATGAAAATTATGCTGAAGACATTTCCAAAACCCGTGTCCTTTTCATTACTTGAGGAATCTTTTTCAATGAGCTGTTCTTTTCTCTGCAAAATCTTTAGAGGATACATACATGAAGGCACGTTTTATCCAGGATAACTTTCTAATCAACTGTTATTGAAGCAAAATTAATAGCAAATGAGTCATTGTTTGCCTTTCATTTGTTTGTTTTTATCCAGGCTTATGTTATTGAGATTAAAGCAAGGTTGAGTGAGAAAAGCTCGGTAAATTCCACAGGTTCTGGGAAAATGGAGTTTCTCTGTGTGTACATTATAAAATTTCAGGATGTGTTTTAATGTTTACATATACTAAATATTTTAGTAAAATATATTTTCAGGCTGTAGACTTCTAATGCTACTTTAAAGTGCATTTAAGTTCTTTTATTTAACTTGGTCCTCTTGATAATCCCATGCTACTGAGTAGCTGTATTATTTTATTTAATACATTATAATTTATATGATAGTTAAATATTATCTGCATTTTGCAATAGGCATGTAGTTTTATGTTAAAATTATATAAACCTCTTTGTAAAGGATTAAATATTATGATAAAATAGCATCTTAAAAGACAATTTTCATTGGTTTTTAGTTTTCTTTCTCAATCAAAGATATCTAGATAAGAATTCACCATGGCTTTAAATGTTGATGATATTCCTTGTGCAAAATTTTTTAACATTTTGAAAGTTAAGATTTTTCTTTATTAGTTGTTTACACATATTATTGTTATCTTTGATTTTCACTTAGGGCAATTAGGAGAGTTTTTAAATATATAGATTAAATTACAAACATAAAACTATGAAAAGAAATAGATTTCAGCAATTCAATTTTCTAGTTATTTTAATTCATAAAGGTGGGCCAACTAAAGGTGGGGAATAGCAATGAAACAAGGCTTCTCTTAAGAGGAATTAGAGTATGGTTTCATTAGTAGTCAATATATACTTGTTGATTACAATATTAAAATAAAGTCAACTGATGAAAAAATCAATGATGAAAATTACCCTCTCATATATTTTAAATATTTCTTTTAAGTCACTCACACTTCAACAATAATGAATTTATATATGTACATAATTTCTAGGAATTTTGGTATTTTTTTTGCTATTTGTTTTTATTTAATACTTGAAATTTTTCTTTTAATGGAGGCCAAAAATAACAGTTTTTTCAAAATTTGAAAAAAATTAACAGAGAAGCTAGTGAATACTGGGTAAAGATGTAGATGAGTAGAGAACTATAAATAAAAATGCTTAAATGTGTACAAATGCTTCATTTTTGTACACTTAGTCTCAAATTGATCCAAGCAAATACTTTTCATAGTTTATTTTAACAATTTCTACATTTCACAATAAGTACATAATAACTAAAATTTTTCTATGTTTTTAATGATTTTTTTTTCTAATATTATTTTTAAAACAAAATGGTTGAAAATAGTCAACCTACTAGGTTTGAATTTAAGATTATATGCAAGGCCAGTTATTCAACTCCTGAAATGCATTAGGAAAATAAGCCAAGCAGTTACTTTTTTTTTTTGAAATCATAAATTCTTAGTAAAGCTACCTCCAGGAATGAAGGGGAATTGATGAAAATTAGAGAGCAGAGTTCCACGTGGTTTTAAATTATTCTGTTTCCTTGGAAACCAGCTGCTGCAGATGCATTTTGCTTTCTTTGGCTAAAAATATCATCCTGTTAATAATTGCTAAGGGAAATGTTCTGAATATAACCAAAATATATTGTTCCTGCTTTTTTTAAAAATAATTTTCTTACCAGTTCACTTTTTGGGTTTTTTTTTAGCATAAAAGGTAGATAAACCCTCTCTCAATCAAAATTTTCTAAAAGTCTAGTGAATCTAGTGGCAGACATCTGAGACATCTCCACAACTATGGTAGCTTATGCTGCAGAAACTGAAGAGGAAAGTGTGTGTGTGTGTGTGTGTGTGTGTGTGTGTGTGTGTGTGTGTGTGTGTGTGTGTGTTGGAATGGAAAGAAAAGAAAGAAAAAAGCATGAAGAACAGTTAAGAGGTTCCTGTCCAAGTGAAGTATGAAACAAGAGGAAGGAAAACCATGTAAGGCTCCTCTGTGAAAGTATGGACACTTGTTTTTCCTTGGTGCAAGCACTTAAAACATTCAAATGTAGGTTTTAAATAGAGATTACTGTATACAGCTTCACCACCTTTTTGATACTTATGTTTTTTACCTTACATTTGTAGGGGTTAGTAATAAGCTGAAGACAATAAACTGAAAAACATTTTTAACATCTTAGTCGTATCAATGATAAGAAAATACTTGAGATATATGTTTAGACCTAGAATAGTGAAGAGGATTAAGTGCATATTTTAAGAAATTAATTCTTTATGTGTAAATTTTAAAAACTTAACACCCATATCATGATTCATTGGTTCAGTCATTTCCTTACGTTTATAATCTATTTTAGTTATTCATAACAACTAAAATTTTGATTTTAAATTATTAAAGCAATATATTTTATTGTAATAGTCACTATTATACACATAAATGCTTTTTGTTTTATCTGATGCCTTTTATTTGCAATAAATCATTTTATGTGGCTTATAAGAAATAAAAATCTACCAATCATCATATTTTAATTTTGGCAATTACTTAAATGAAAATATTTTCATTATAATTTTTCTAATTCTATTATAGACAGGAAAAGTCATTATAAAACTATTACATCTTTTCTATTTTATTACAAGTGAAATTTCTAAATATAGTTTCTTTATCTAAAATTTTTACCTATAATATTTAATTTTTATTATATTAGCTCTATTTATATTACATTTGTTTAAAACATGATTCTAATAAGTGCAAAAGTTAATTTCAAAGATTACTATTCATCAAAGAAGTCCATTAATGTAAGATCAAGTTTCTTATTTACTTTTACTTTAATACAGGTAGATAGTAGTCATGTGATTTACTTGCAGTCTTCATACTTCAGTTACATCAAGGGGTTACCATAATATCTATCAAAAAAAAAACAAAGGATGATGTTGTTTCAAAATACATTTCTTGATTTCTCCTGACTCATACATAGTCATAGCAATGACATTACCACCATCTAAAAGTAGTCTTGGTAATAAACAAATCTTAATGTATTGTTGATTAAAAAGTCCTTTGGCAAGTTCTCATTTGATTTTCATGTATTGCCTTTGAATCTGAGTTACACTAAGAGTATTGGAATGGCTTCTAGAAATAATTCCTTCCCTCAATTATTTCTTGATACATATCCAGAAACTAAAACTCACATGATTTTTTTATTTGGTGAAAAACTGAGCATTTCCTTGTACAAAATAGCATCCAGATGGAGACAATTTCATTGCATATTGAATATAGTATATAAAATTACTACAAATTAAAGAAAATAGAGTTTAGGACTTTTGGAAGAAAGTGAAAAGGTATGACTTGGACAAGAGGGCTAGAGAGTACAAGGAATAAGGCAGTTGTGTATAGCTAACCACAGTTAATCCCCAGCACCTATAGGATCCCTGAGCACCTCTTATCCCTGAATGCAGAGACATGAATAAGCTCTGAGGATGTAGCAAAACATCAAAAACCAAAAATTATGACATGGGTAGAGTACACCCAATGCAAGGCAATAGGGAAATTTTGAGTTGTTCAGACCACATGACTTTAGATCTGTCCTTGATGTCATTTGACTCTAATCATTTTGATTTACTGTTACAATCTCTTGGGCTTTTTGTGAATTTGCTGTCAAGGTAAAAAAATAGACATTGGGCTTTGTCCTCTGATGTGTTAGTATAGAGTTAGTTACTATCAGATAATTGATATATCATAATATATTCAATAAATGAAGCAGTAATTTCCTAAGCAGGTCTCCTGAATTATTTAACAAAGATTTTTGTTTATTTTTCTATCCCTGAGGTAGCCTCTCAACAGAAAAGAAATTTTGGTCAGCAGTCTTTACTAGGTACTGTTACTTTTTATACTGTCAGCATATTACGGCAGAGAATCGGAGAAAGGTTTCAAATCGTGAAAAATGATTCTTGTTTTGTTTTTTTATAATTCTTTCAGCTCATAAAATCTATATTTAAATTTTAAACTTTTGGGGATGGAGTGATAGTATAACGGGTAGAGTGTTTGCCTTCCTTGTGACCAACCTGGGATCAATCCTCAAAATTCTGTATGGTCCTCTGAAAACTACCAGGAGTAATTCCTGAGTGCAGAAAATGAGTAAACTCTGAGTATAGCTGGGTGTAGCCCCAATACAAAAAAGCAGAAAACAAACAAAGAAAATTTTAAACTTTTTGGCCCATTGTAATATCTAGAGAAGTGATTGGACGTGGACTTTCCTGTGCCCACTGAAGTCCACCAGCACCCTGAGTATATGATGGGAAATTCTGAGTGTAGAGACTCTATCTTAAGTGTCTACATTTAGAGATCTTTACCCTCTTTTGACATTGTCATTGAGAGCTCTCAATCCCAGTGCTGTTTCAGGCCAGTACTGTGCTCCCTATCATAGCTTTCTTCATATTTCTTTGCTGTCAACTCTTTGACCTCCCTTTAAGTCTCTAACTGTTAATTATAGCATTTGTTGGCTTGAATTTGTCTTAGTCTTTATACTGAAAACTAATAGAATGTTTAACGTATACTATGTTACACAATTGTTTTTGTTGATTGAATAAAAAGCGAATGGTATTTTCAGATAATATTTTAATCTTTTCTTATACTTCCAATAACATTAATTATATTCTAAGGTAGTTCACATATGTGCTTCTCTATTAATTGTTTTCAATATGGAAGATCCATGTCTCATAAATTTTATTGAGCAATGCAGTTTAAATTCTTCTACCTGATATTTGATAGGCTAATATTTTTTATTTTCCCACATTTCTGCA